TTTTAAAAAATAAGTAAAATTGATTTTAATAATAACAATAAAAACAAATGTAAATATTGCTTAATTTTTCTCTACATCACATCTTTTGGTATATTGTCTTACCACAAAGCCCATTTGAGTAGATGCACTTATACATAACATATTTAAAAGTACCTATCACTCTTTTTTCAAAAAGTATCAATCAGTTTTTGGTTAAGTATTTATTAGTTCTTTTTTTTTTTGCTTTGAGTGTCCCCTACAATCCTCAGCAAGGTTCCAATATGTGGAAACTTCCTTTATTTGCACTTGATTATGAAACACCAAAATTCATTTTCTGTATTACACTCTGATCATGTAATTACTGAGTAATGTAAAATTTATGACATTTTAAGGTGCTTTGACAAGTTTGAGAATTGGAAGGATTTTCTCTATTACCCTCTGATCAAGTAGTTACTGAATAATGTAAAATATTTGACATTTTGAGGTGCCTTGACATGTTTGAGGATTGGCTGGATTTTTGCTTTTGCCATTTGTTACAGTTTTATTATTATTTGTAATCCATGAAAAGGTCAGGACCACATTTCACACTTGTTTGTACATAAGAGATTGTTTTTGAACATGTTACCTAAATTAGTAAAATGAGAAAATTGATAAACTTTAAATGAGTGACCTAAATATTAGCTTTTCTTTTTTTTTCTTTTTAATAGTTAACACTTTAAACAACTTTTCTTATTGCACCATTTCTTTCAGAAAAATGGCCTACCAAATGAAGTCATTAGGTCTAATATGGTATATATATATATGAGAACTGGCTTTCAGATCATTGGTTACATTCAACATGAACAGTGTACTAAACAGCTGTTATGTAGTGGTTTAAAATTATACAATAAATCAAACACATATGAAAAAAAAAAAAATTGGGGGGAGGGGAAGGTTCCATAGTTATGCCATGTGTTTGAAATAATTGTTTCAGATATGGTGATTCTTATGTACGAGTTAATTTTTATCAATGAAAAAACAGTGTATAATCTTTTTTTGTTGGTTATAAGCATGCCCAAATGTAATGTCAAAGAGAATTACAGACATTTGTTAAAAGGCAAAGGGTATGGGAGGAGCATGTTAATGTGGGTTGAACAAATATCACGATATCTCAGTATAGTAAGAGGTTGAAATTTTATACTTTTGCTTATTATCATCTATAGAACGTTTCTAACTAGTTGAACAATCTGAGACACTGTCCTATAAATATCATAATCTTGTTGACTCTCTTACTATGTGATAACAGCCTTTAAAAAGTCACCTAAGCCCATCAATGTGTTTCCTGAGGAAATAAAGTTTGAACTAGAAGCAAAATAGGCAATTTTTCCATACAGAAAACAATGTAATACAAGTCATTTGAAAGATTAAAACTTTGGCTTTCTATTAGTTATAAATACTATAGTATTAAAGGTCAGATAGAACTATTGGCAATTTGTGAAAGAGAGGATGTGACAGGTGGGCATTGCAAGTGGATCTGATTTACCAGTTTATGGTTCAGTAAACAAATACGATTGAAGGCAATAAAAGTTATGTTTTACCCTAGTGGTATCTATATTACAAAGTAATTTACATTAAGGTCCTTACTTCTCAGAAGCATGGTAAATCACAGAAGAGGAAAGAACCTAGAGAGCGATGTCAAACTTCTCATACTAGGGAAAACTAAAGATTTTTAAAAAATATTTCCACAAAATCAAGAACTTAAAAATTATGATATTAAAATTTCATTTGTTAACTATTTCAATACCAAGATTATTTGTATAGTATGATAATAAAGTAGTTAAATGAAATTTTGAATGTAACTATAAATTGTTTGTTTCCCTTCTTTTTTTTTTTAAATCACAATGGGCTACCTGCATTCTTAACATTCTGGGGAATCGAACCACAGATTTTAGTGTTGCAAGTTCTTGAACTTACATCTGACCCACCAGGAGACAACTCTGTAACAGGTCAGGTTGTGCATTTTGACCCCCACCCATACCCAAAGGGTTAAAGAGTTCTTATGTTTTACCTGTTTTTATTGTGTAAGTTTTATTTTGTAAAGTTGTTTTTCCAGCATTTTACACTGTATTGTGCTATACATACTTTTACAGGAGTAAGAGCAGATTGCTTTGGTTTCTTTACTAATGTACAAGTTAGATTTTGATTGGCTAAGTTTTATAGTTGGGGACAACTTGGAAATAAAATAGACAGAAGTGTGGTATGGAGGCATATATTTTCTATTTCCCTCAGTAGCTAGATGAGTTTTCAGATAGTGTGTTACAGGTCTATTTTTAGTATAGAACATCAATGCAGAAAAGTACAACGTTTCTCTTGTCTAAGGTTGTCACACGTGGATTTCCTCTGGAAGATAGAAGAGATCACTGTAGAATGAAACATGGGATGAATATAAGCAATATTCTATTCTGGCAGCGAACCATGGGATTGCCTGGGAGTATGTCCCACCTCTTGCTGACATGAGAGTGGCTTAGTGATATGAAGTGTGTATGCCTCAGAAGAAAAAAAAAAATTGGACATACTGAAAAGTTTTACCTTTATTTTATAAGAGTAGGCACAAGTATATGCAGCATCTTTGTGTTTGTTAAGCATTTTTAGTAGTGTAGTCTATGTTGGAAGCACTGTAAGCATTTGGAGACAATTAGATTCCGGATTTTTGCCAATATTCTTCAAACACAGTGTGTGCTAGCAAAGTTTCAAACTCCATAGAAATAACAGAATTACACTTACACTGGTGAGAGTTTCAATTAATGCTGGATGATTTAATCAATTATCTACGAGTTATGACCACAACGATTAATACCAATGTAACTGAAAACAACAATTCCAATTATTATTGTTTTCAATCATCCCAATGATCAATTAATCAAAATTACTATTATACCATTTGCCATGAAAATAATTTAATCAAAATTAAGGTTTCCAAAAATTATTATCTTTAATTATTCCAAACCTGCTTCCACCCCCCACCCCCCTCTGTTTTTATGTTGTTTTTACTGAACTGCTGATTAGAAGAAAGGCAACTCTCTGACAGCATCCACCTCCAACCTTTTTTTCTCTTTCATTTTTCTTTTTGAATTGCTAACTATCATGGTTTGAGAATAATTGTATGAATTGACTATCTGAAAGCATTTGATTGAAAGGGTCATCTATTAGTTGATTAGCACTTATCTATGTGGGAACTTAACTTTGATTGTAGATTATGTTGTTTATAATAAAGATTGTGACTGTCCCGTGTTTCTTTCATGTACTCAGTCAAAGATAAAAAGAACACAGCCCTGATCTGCGATATAATATCTGATGAATCCTCCTTTTTTTTAGGTTCATGTAAGCTACTTTGAGGGAAATCAGAGCAATCTGAGAATACCACATCATTTGTTTTCAAAGAAGTTTATTGTTAACATTACTGGAATTATTTAGTACAGACTTAAAAAGCCCTGAACTACTGGTAAAAAAGCTCTCTTTTTAAGGCGAGTTTAAAGCCATATTTGGCTAATAGAAATTTACATTTTATGACATAACTCCATACACACCATTTTTAAACCCCATTAACCTCCTTCTGTGCATGTTACTGAGTTACATTCAAAATTTAATTAAACCACTACACTATAAATGTATTTTAATGAAATTATCACCAAGTACATTATAATTTAAAGTTTTATTCCTTTCTTTAAAAAATAAAATAAAAAACATTAAATCAGCAATTAAACTGCAGTTTTTGCTGTCACATGATCTGATCGCAGTTACAATTTCTCAACTTTAAAAGAGCTGGTAGAAAAGAAACTGTTTGGAATGCAGACAGTTCCTGCAGATGGCCAAAGTACACTATACAGATGTTTTACATTAGTTTCTCGAGGTCTCTATATTTTAATTAGTTATGTATTATTTGTGTTTTAAAATGCATACTTGAAAGGTTTAATGATTTATTCTATATGTTTAACTTGTTAAAGCTTTGATTGTGAAAGTTTATAAACAAGATGGCATCATCCGCATGTACGAGTTTTTGTGAAAGAGTCTTTGCACAGGAGTCACCATATAATAATAATAATAGAGCCCTATGGGGACCAGTTAACATATTTGCATAAATAATAAAAGACAAAAGAATTAGAGAGAAAAGTTAAAATAAGTGTAAAGATAAAGACATGAAATTAAGCATAATAAGAAAACAAGGTTTAAAAGACTTCCTACAAAGTGCTAAGAGGTAAGTACATACTTCCCTTTTTTAATTTTACAAATTTCATTGCACTGTACATTGATGATAATAACTAGAGTTAGTAATACAGTAGAGAAAATGGAAAATAAAATAAACATTTACCTTGAAAACTTCTGATATTCATTTATGAGGTTCTAGAGATTATGCAAATGAAATTTGAAAACTATAGGTTAATAAATAGTATTTTTACACTCAAAATGGAAATCACCTGCAAGTGACCTATTAAGAGTCCAAGTACAAATAACTACATTAAATAATGAATTTTTTTTTTTATAATAGAAATACTAGAAAACATCAAAATCAAATATTTTATTTATCTGAAACTACAGAATCCCATCCACCAGTTTCATTTTTGTAAAGAACTTTCAGGAGAATTACATAGCCTACTTAAAATGTAAGTAGATCATCGTCATAGAGGTAAAGAATAATCTAAATCATTTTTACACATCACTAAATTATTTTCTTCCATCTAAATGTCTATATGTTCTATTTTTATTTTTCTTAGCCACAAATCATTTTAAGTTTTCTAAAATTGTCATACCTTCTCATAATCTAAAGTAACGAATATCTTTTTTCTGACCCTATTGCACTCAACATTTCACATAAATAAAACTAGACTTGGTACAAGGATCACAAGCACATACTAGGATAAAACTCAGTTACCCACAAAAAGTTATTTAATACTTCTAAGAACCTAAGAGTGAAAGCAAATGAGAAAAATAAACACTCAATTATCACGTACAAGAGGACTTAATGAATTGTTGAAAGTACTTACATTTCTGTCAAAAAAACGAAAGGTTGTAGATGGTTGCTATGAAAAAAACACCAATATTAGCCTCCAATCCAATAACAGAATATTGTACGTACAACATACATATTGTAAGCTCTAAGGTTTCCAAAAATAAAGGTACCCATTACATTTTTTCCTTTTGAAGCAACCTTTAAAAAATTATTACAAACTGGTTTTGGTAAAAAAATTAACAAGCATTATAAGATAAAAAGTGTACTGAACATAAATATCTTGAAGAAAAACTATACAAAGCAATTATTAGAACTAATGAACAATAAAATTAATGTTTTTATTAAGCATATCATGAAAAATAACAATCATAAAATTTACTTATATTAGAAAAATTATAAAGATGTTTTGAGAGCAAAATGGAATATCTATAACATATAAAAGTTAACATTTTCCTAAACTAAAAATGTATTTCCAGTAGATACTTACCTCCTCTCACCAAAAGTTCTTGAATTATATTGCTTTATACTGGCACAAATGTTTGCTCACCACAAGCCTTGCTACTCCTTTATATTACTGCATACTAACATGAAAATTATCATGCAACAACCCTCTACCAATAGGAGTGCACACTACCCATATCGTAACTAGCACCCTCTATAATCATGCACATGTTAATCACTATTAGATTGGTCATAACTAACCACAGCAAATCACACCAGAAGTGGGGAGGACAAGTGGGAAATTTGAGTGGAAGCAAGTATCTATCGGAAATACATTTTCACTTTAGGAAAATGTTAACTTCTCATACAATATCTTACCTCCTCTCACAAAATGCTAGAATCCCACATTGAGCTGGTGGTGGGATGGTAAGAAAATTATTCCTCATGAGGAAGCACCAAGAAAGACCATGAGGTGTGACAAGGTATTATAAACAACACACCAGTGGGAGATCACACCACTTCTGAGCCAGGTATACTCTTCACCCTGTAGTAATGTGTAATAAAATGGAAAGGGCAGGAACTTGGAGGGTCCCCAAAAAAATACAGAAATAATGGGACCTTCTGTTGTAGAGTGGCTAGGGTAAGACAGACCATAAATGGGAGATCAAACTCAACTAACACCTGGCAGCATCTGGAATTGTACATCAGGTCCATGGTAAGAAGAGGTCTGCAATCTTTCACCTCAAAAACAGATACCGACAGGGAAGAGGAGCTCCTGTACCAAGAACCCATCTCCGCATGTGTGCATCTCCAATATAACCAACACTAGTTCCGCCAGGAACCAACATCCAGCAGATACTAGAAAGGAGGAGAACCCAGGTGGGTGTTCATCTTTGGTCCAAAACCTGACAGCAATGGAAATATTTTCATCCAGTCCACATTAGGAAAAGGGTAACTTGCCTTGCAGAAGCATGAAGTCATGTGTCTCGTCCAGCTACAACCAACACCAGATCCACCAAGAACTGACAAACATCCAGTAGACGGTAGGAAGAGGGACAGCAAGTTGAGTTGCATCTCCAGTCCAAAATCTGGCGACATTGGGAATTTAACATCTAGTCTGTGAAAGGAGGAGGGTACTAGCCAAACACATGTGAGGACTCATGTAGCTGGACTGTCTCCAACCAACACCCAATCCCCAAACACCGACATCCAGAGGATGGTAGGAAGGAGGGTGTCTCAGCCGGAAGAGCCTCCATGGTCCACCACCCCAGTGGCTAGGAACTGATAAGCAACAAGGAGAGTAGAAGTGCATTGGAGAGTCCAGAAGACCACAGCACCAGAGACAGTGATGGCAATACCCTATTTTGAAAAGTAAAGCGATTACATTGATGGAGTGCATCATCCAACAGCGGGCAATGTTTGGAATTGAACATTGGGTCCACAGTAAGAAGAGCATCAAATGCCACAGATCAGAGATGAGCAGCAATTTGTGTCTGCTTGACTCATGTTAGTCCACAAATGTACAGTCTGGGACAAACATTCATGAAGCAAAAGACCACAAGGTATACCTACAAGCAATCCTGCAGAACACCTCATCTCAACGGTGGGCATAATATGACCTGAATAAGTGTCATGACACTGTATTTTGAAAGCATAGTTAACATGTTAACAGAGTTAATCAACCAACACCTGGAGGCCTCTGGAATAATACATCAGGTCTTTGGTAGGAAGAATCAATGTCACAGTCAACTAGCATGTTCACAGGTTGTACAATGTGGATTTAAGACGAAGAATACCTGATCAGGCAACACTCGCCAAAGAGTGGGATCCAAATATGCAATAAAGACCCCTGTAAAGAAAGATTAATGGAATACTTACCACTACAGACAAACAGTTACAGCACTGACGATGTTCCCAAAGGTAAGATGGAAATTTAAAGCCACAGACATGATAGAGTGATGGATGTGATGGGAAGAAAACATGAAAAAGGCTACAAGAGAGGGAAGAAAAACACCAGGCGATTGAAATGCCAAATTTAACCCAGAAGGGTAATATGGAGAAAAAAAAAGTCAAAGAATAGGTGAGGATTTCACTGAAGAAACAAACAAATCTGGGAACCACGGAAGGGAGCAGTACATGTTAAATACCCTTGGAAAGTCCTGACCAAGCAAAGGAGGTGGGTGGGATCAGAAATCATAAAGGTGAGAAAAGAATGTAAGGGAATGGGATTGAGAAAACGATGGATGAATGTAGGGAACCAGCCTACTGAAACGACTTTCAGAACCCATGGATTGACCCCCAAGGACCTTCAAAAGTGAGCAAACTGAAGGAGTATGGCCCAACCAACCCTGACCCTAGAAGAGTAGTCAAAGGAAGACAAATACAGGCAAATGTAACCAAAGTATCGGGGTCTGATCCCCCACTAAGTGAGAAGCAACACCAAATGCTGCAAGTCTAAATAAAGGAAGTTGGAACAATGATAAAAAGCATGATCATCCATAATACATGTGGGTCAAGGCATACTGACCCCCACAAAAACAAATGCTCCCTATCCTCCCCAAAAATCTTACATGAACCACAACATCTAGGGGAGGAGGAAATACTAAATAACGACCCAAAAGCTCATCCCAAGGAATGGCAGGGGTTGAACATAGGAAATGGAAGATAAGTACAGAAAATAACATACCTGAAGAACAAATCCACCAAAGGAAAAAGAGGTTTGGACAATTTCACCAAAAAGTCTGACCAAATCCAAAACAAAAAGACCACTGAAAATCTTGAGAGGACAATCAATGAGTTCTGATTGTTGCAAGAAATTGTTGAACTACCGATAGAAAAAAAAAAAAAAAAATAGTATGTATACTTATATATTGTTACGACAGCATGCGCGCTGGAGTTTCTCGAAGGATCATGAATTATCAAGGAAGACTGAGTTTGTCCTGGATGCCCTCTTTTTTAATATATAAGCCTGGCGAGAAAAACCAGCGCAATAGATAAATATAGAGATAGATAATTGGGTCAAGCTAATGGAAGTGACGGTAATATAAAGTGTTTGTTTTGTTTCAAGATGGCAAACGTATTGACTGTGGAACTTCTGTGTATTACAAAGGACTTGTATCGCTGAAGTACCTTGGAAAGAATTTATACCGGAAATTAGCAACGAGCAGATATGTAACAAATTGGTGTCAGAGATTGGTACGGAAAAGAAAAAAAAAAAAAAGAAGAGGGAAACGAGAAGTGGCAAATCAAACTACGACTTACCAGATTTGATGGCAGCAATACAAGAACAGCAACGAGTAGAACAAGAAAAGAAACAAGAAGAGAAATTACAGCAGTTGTTGGAGGAAAAAGAAAAGAAACAAGAAGAATGAGAAAATAAACAAGAGAGACTACAGCAGTGGCAAGAAAACCTGCATCAGTGACAACTGGAACAAGAAAAGAAAGATTAGTAAATTTCAAAGTGAGTTAAATACATTAAAGGACGATTTACTGTCTTTTACACAAGGAGGATATATTAACCATGGACTTAATCAGCCCCAGACAACTGAAAGCCCCTTCCAGACCCCGCAGCTAAACCCTAATGCAGACATCTTCAGTCCTGCCAGAAGACACATTCCAGACTTGAGTGTCAGCAGTAGGGGTGATTTAGTGTGAAGGAAGCCAAATGAATTTGAAGGAAAGGCACCATGGGAAGCATATAGAGCACAATTTGAGCTCCAGGCAGACATGAATGGATGGACGAAGGAGCAGAAAGCAGTGTACCTGGCAAAACTATAGAGCACTGGTAGCTGCTCTGGAACTCAGGTATGGATGTCAAAATCAGTCTGAAGTCTACAGGGCTAGGTTTAGGATGAGAGTTCGTACTAAAGGGGAGAGCCTGCAAGAGTTGATACAGGATTTGGAAAGTATGGCACACAAGGACTACGCAACTGCACCACCCGATCTCCTCAAGCTGTTGCTGAGGGATCAGTTTGTAGATGCCTTAGACAGTCCACAACTGAAGATACAAGTAAAGCAAGCACAACCCTCTACTATGCAGGATGCAATGGCCAGAGCTCTTGAATTCGAATCATATGTTAAGCCCAGCACAGAAGTACCATGGTTGGTACAGTCATCAGGATTCAAGGCCAAAAAATGGCAGCTTT